TCCCCTTCTCCCTTTATACTCTCACTTGGTGAAATCTGCTCCCATGGAGTCAATTACCAATGATTCTCAGGTCTTCTTATGCAGTCCCAGTTCCAAGTGCCTACCGAGTATCTCAAACTGGACGTCCTGTAGACATCTTAAACTCACTATGTCCGAAATTGAACTCATCATCTTTTCTCCCTAAGCCTTCAATTCTTCCTAACTCTCTTATTACTGTTGTCAAGGGTATCACCATCCTCCCAGTAGCCCAGACTCAACACACAGGTGTCATTCTGGATTCCTCAATCTCTCTTACCCCACCCCATCCAATCTGTTGCCAAGGCCTGTTAATTTTACCTTTGTAATATATCTCACATTTTGTCCCCTTCTCCCTTCTGACACTGCCGCCACCCTGGTCCACGTTCTCATCACTTCACATATTAACTACTGCAACAGCCTGTTGCCTGACCTCTTGCTATTCCAGACCATCCATCCTTCACTCAGCTGTGAAAGTGATCTTCCTAAGGGGCAGTTAGGTGGCGCAGTGGATAGAGCTCTGGCCTTGGAGTCAGGAGGACCTGAGTTCAAATCTGGTCTCAGACACATAACATCTACTAGCTGTGTGACCCTGGGCAAGTCACTTAACCCTGACCGCCTCACCAAAAAGCAAAAAAAAAAAAAGTGATCTTCCTAAAGTGCCACCATGTAACCCCTCCCCCCATTCAATAAACTCCAGTGGCTTCCTATCACCTCCAGCATCAAAGAGAAAATCCTCTGCTAGGCGTTCAAAACCCTTCATAACCTGCTGCACCCCACCCGGGCCTTCCTTGAAGTCTTTTACACCCTCCTCTGATGTATTCTGTCACCAGTCCTCCTTGCTGTTTCTTGAACAAGACACTCCATCTTCTGATGCCAGACAATTTCACTGACTGTTCCGCAGGTCTGGAATTCTCTCCTCTGTCGCCTCCGCCTCCCAGGTTTCCTTCAAGTCCCAGCTAAACTCTCGCCTTCTACAGGAAGCCTTTCTTGATCCCCCCTTACTTGCGCCGCCTTCCTTCTGTTGATTTGTTTGCATGTGGTCTCCTCCATCAGACTGTCAGCTCCTTAGGGGCAGAGACCGTTTTTTGCCTTTCTCTGTAGCCACGGTGCTGAGCGAACTAAGTACTTCACAACTTTATTCACTTCTCACAGCCTACCCCGATTCACACTGTTCCTAATTCCTGAGATGTTCCCTCCTCCTCTTCGTTTGTTGCATTCCTACCCATCCTCTTAAGAGCGACTGAAACGCCATCTTCTCCATGAAGTCTTCCTCAGTTACATTCTGCTTCCTCCTAAGAAACGATCTTGGCGCCTCGGACCTCACAGAACATTACAATATGGGGTGTTGCAGCGCTTCGTGTCGGCTGTCTTAGTCCCCTAATAAACTATGAGCCCCTGAGCCCAGGGACCATTTTGCAGATGCACCAATACCGGCACTGCTGTCCACACAACGGCAATAAGCACATAATAAATACGTGTTGTATTTGTGAAATAAACCAATGCTTTGAATTTGTCTTTCAATTCCTGAAGAGCCCCTGGAGATCATCTTGTTCAACTCATTTATTCTGCGAATGAGAAAACCATTTATGAGGCAACTATCTATGAACCACTTGGCAGGGAAGCAGTATATAACCATGGGTCTGAGGGTCAGGGAGACCTGGGTTCAGATCCTGCTTCTTATGCTGCCCAGCCATGTGAATCTAGGTGAGTCACTCCTCTGTTTCTCCATCTGTAAAATAGAAACGGTAGTTCTACACCTTCATAAGACAGTAAAGATCAAAGATGATAAAATGAACATAAAGCACTCACGAACTCTCAGTGAGTAGTAGTTATTTGTTATGACTCATACCTCCTTCTAGGGAAGAGAAGAAAAGAGGGAGGGAGGGTTTGAATGAAAACACCTTTTAACAGAACCTGAACCCACAGCACGGGTGGCATCCATCCCACCTCTTGGTCAGGGGCAAGAGGCTTCTTCTAGTCCCCTGTCATTCTACCAATAATAATCACCATGTTAGTGATTTCCATTTACAGAGTGCTTTGTAGTTCAAAGCATAACTCTACTGAATATCTCCATTCCACAGAACAGAAGCTCAAAAGTGAAGTGTTTGCAGCCAATCAACAACGGCCACACTAAAGATAGCTGGTAGAGCTTTAAGGTTTGCAACACACTATATACATGCATGATCTCATTCGATCCTCACAACCACCATGAGAGGGTAGGTGCTATCATTATCTCCATTTTACAGATGAGGAAACAGAGGCAGACAGAGGTGAAGTGTGTTGCACCACCCCCCCCACGGCTACTGTCTGGGGCAAGGTTCAAATCAGAGGCCAGCTTCTTGACTCCAAATCCCATGTGCCACCTAGCTGCCTTAATAAATCAAGAAGCATTCAGTACACACTTACTAGGTACCAGCTACTTAACCAGGGAGATAATAATGGCAAAAATGAGATAGTCCCTGTCCTGAAACAGCTTACATGCTATTGGGAAGTCTACAACAACCCCTGATCCTATCTGTTGCTGCACAGGGGATTCCTTCCAGGCATGGCCTGCACTATTTCACTGCCGAACTCTCAAATTCTGTGATTCTGCGACTTGCTCAAGTTGACACCACTCGTATTCATGAACCCAACTGGATCTTCTGACTCTCAAGTCTAACCTTATTTCTTCCCATTGATAAAAGGCAAGGCTTAGTTCCATATCCAAAATGAGGTTTCCTGTGTCTATGGACATCACCAAACATTTATGACACAAACCTTATCCTATTAAAAAAAAGTACAATATATTACAGTGGAACACTGAACTGCAGGAGGCCATGGTTCTAACTTCTACCACTAACTTTCCTAAGTCTTTGGGGCAAATCCCTTCTTTCTGGGGCTCAGTTTCCAGTACCACGAAAGGAGTTAGACAAGATGCTCTCCAATGTCCACTTGTGGCTGCCTCCCGTCTCCACCTGAAAAGCGCACAGACCTCCTCCAGGAAGAGGTCAGAGCAAGGCAAAAAGAGTCAGTCAGACAGAAGACCTGGGGGCCAAATCCTGTCCCTCTTACTAAGTGGGTGACTTCTGGCTAATATCTTCCTCACTAGAGGGACAAGCAGTGGTTACAGGGCTGGGCCTCGAGTCAGGAAGATCTGAGTTCAAATCCAGCCTCAGACACTTACTAGCTGTCACCCTGGGCAAGTCCCTTAAACTCCATCTGCCTCACTTTCCTCAACTGCAAAATGGGGACAATAGCACCTACCTCCCAGAGTACTGTGAGCAACAAATGAGATGTTTTTAAGGCACTCAGTACACTGCCTGGCACGCGGTAGTACTTGATAAACTGCAGAGAGGGAAACTCTCTGCAAAATGAGATGGTTGGACTAGAGGACCTTTAAAGACCTCCCACCCCTGTAGGATAGCCTGCATAATTAAAAAGAGAAGTCACCCCCTGCCCATCTTCCCAGAGGGAAAGCACACGGGTCCAGAAGAGGTTAAGTGGGGGGGGGGGGACTTTCTCAGGCAGCATGGGCTAGCACGAAGAGCAGAGAGTTCCAGGCCTGGAGTTGACCTGGGGTCAAAATCCCACCTCTGCTACTCAATTCTATTCAGCAAGAATTTATTAAGAGGTCTATGACCGCAGTTACCAGCAGTACTATGCCAGGCACTGGGGAAGCAAAATCAGAGGCTACATCTTGCCACGAACTCAACTCGGCCAGCATTCTGTAAGCACCCATACATACCACATATACATACATACATATATATATATATACAAACATATCACGTACACACAGGACCCTGTGGTACGCCTACACAAAGTATATCCATATATATGCACGTGTGTGCAAGCACATACACACACACACACACACACACACACACGACCCTGGACGCAAAGACCAAACTAGAGAGGGATGGACCACTTCAGCTCCCTGCCTTCGGCTCCACTCAGAGGGCACACATCAGACCCGCACGGCGTCCGAGGCAGACGGCTAGGATTATAAGACAGGCTCCAGGCGCGCGTGGACCGTACAGTCAACGACGGACAAGCATTCATTAGGCGCCAACAGGGAGCCAGCGAGGGAACGCCGAGACAATGAATGAGCCGATCCGCGCAGGCTCGAGGCGTGGACGTCCCACCCCGCCGGGGCAGGGAGGAGGGCGTGCGGCTGGACAGCGCCTCCGGCTCCGGGGGCCCGGCCCCTCCCCGCTCCCCCCGCGGCCTCACCGGTACTGCTTGGGGTCGCTGGGAGACTTGACGATGGCAGGATCCCCGACGTTGCTGACCAGAACTCCCCGGCGGCCTCCCCCCTCCTCCTCGGACTCGTCCGTGGCCAGGCGGGCGGCCCGGCCGCTCTCGCCCGCCTCCTGGGCGCCGGACAGCAGGTCGGGGCAGCTGCAGGTGTACTTGGCCTTGTTCCTGCCCGGCATAGTAAGACCCGCGGCGGGACTGGCGCAGGGGCCCGGAGCGGCGGCGGCGGCGGCGAAGGCGGCTCTGTCTCTGGCTCGGGTTCCGGCGGGCCCCGGCCTCCGGCTCCCTCTCCTCAGGGCGCCGGGCAGCGGCGGCGAAGGCGGCCCGGCCTCACGGCACCACGTCCTCCACGCAGCAGCGGCTCTTCTCAGCATCCACGGGGGAGCGCGCCTCAGGCATCCCCCGCCCACAAGGCCCGCCTCCTGCTCCCGCTGCTCCGGTTGGCCCGCGGCGGCTCGGGACACGGAGGACGCGGCGGCGGCGGCGGCGGCGGCGGCCGGAGCTGGTGCTGCCGCCGCTGGACCGACAGGCCGGAACCCCCTCCCCCACTGGCGGGGGAGGGCCGCGGCCAGCCCCGGCCAATCACAGACAAGGACCTGTGTCACGCGCGCCGACTCGTCCAATCACGGCGCAGCTGGTGGGGGGCTCCTGACCGGCCTCCGCGGCCGCAGGCGAGCCCACCCGGGGGGAGGGGCGGGGCCACACAGACCGCCGGGAGAGACGGCGCGTAGGCGGGGCACGAGGTGACTGTGACGTCACCCGCACGGAGGATGTTTGTTGCGGCGCCTCAGTCTCCGGCTCTCCATGCGCGGCCCCGCCCACCGCTCTCTCACACCCAGAGAGACGAGCATCGGGCGGGGCTGATCGGCACCCAACCCAGCTGTCGATTCATTGGCCAAGACTGTCCGCCACTCATAAAGCTTCGCCCCAATCGGCTGAGGACTGGTTCCTCTATTCCGCCCCCTTTTCCAGTGACTCAGCAAAGAGAGGTGGGCTCCGCGGAATCCTCGGAGAGCTTTCCTCGTCCACCGAGGCCGGAAGTTAAGCGTAAGCCGGAAGCAGCTCCTGAGAGTAGCTCAGACGGTCGTTTGGCCCGCCCCCGAGCGTACCCCTTCCTTTCTTGCTTCTTTTGGCGCGAATGCCCACGTGGACTTGGGAGGACGAACTTTCCCGGAAGGTAGGGGGTCTGAGGGTGGGGTGCGGGCGTGGTCAGTCAAAGACTAGGGGGACTGCTGAGAGAAGGGCAAAGGATCCCGCACCGGGCAGGGTCTCAAGTGTCCCCACACAAGCCCTCTCCCGTCTCCATGCCAGGCTGGGCCCCCCCCCCAGCCTGAATGCACCCCCTCCCCACCTCCACCTCTTGGTGTCCCTCACACATGTTCTGTGCACTCGGTATGAGGGCCACGTTGAAGAAGTCCTTCCCGGAGAAGACCTTTAATTTCTGTGGTGACGCCCGAGCACCTCGCCCAGGAGACGCTCACGAAATGCCAGTCCGATGACTGATTGATTGATTGTCTGGAACAGGAGCCGCGATGAGCCAGGAGGCCACTTTGGGGTCCCCGTTAGCACCAGCAGGAGCTCCCCCCACCCCCCACCAGCACCACCCTCTTCGGATAAGGGTCTTCCATTTTATAAAGTCAACAACAGGTTAACAACATTCAGAACAAGAGGTCTGTTTTCTGTGAGTTACTGTACCAGTCAAGTGCGGGAGGCGGAGTAAGCCTGTTTGCCGAAAGGAGCCTGCAGTGAGCCAAAGTCCTGCTCACTCCCAGAAGCCTTTGCTGGTGTTTGCTGGCTGAGCTGTGCCCCCAGACGGCCCGAGCCAGCCTTGTGGTCAGCTCTTCCTGCAAAACATCCTGCTTCTATGCCCACCTGTTCCTGGGAAAGACTGTCCATTCTTTCTCCCAGCCTCTCCACTTTGTGATTTTCAAGCATAAATCTCCCCTGCCTCTGCGCGCTCCTTTGTACCTTGAACTGGGGGCCTTGACACTAGCGTCCGACTTTCCTCCTAACAAAACTTCTGTTTTCAACCCAGCGTGGACTCCTCTGCATTTGAGGGATAGACTTCACCTGGTTGACAAGAGTTAGACTGTGTCAAAGGTCGACTCGTGGGTGGGGAGGGGAGAAGGAAGATCAGCTCCTCCCGTGTGTGCTCCAGACATGAGGGGGTTGATCCTGAATTCTGAGCCTATGCCCAGCTCACCCAATGGAGCATATTCCAGGGGAAGTCAGGGAATGAATGAAGTTCCAGATAGCAACCCCCCCCCCAAGTCCCCATTCCCACCAAGGACAGCAGAAATCACCATGCCTACCTGCATGTGCATGAGTATACACCTACACATCTTTATGTATACATGTATACATGCTTGTTTGTGTGTATATAGATACAGGCACATGCATGTGTGTGCCTGTGTACACGTACACACCACACAATATCCAGCCAAAGTTCAGCACAGCTTTGTTTTGTGGGAATGAAGCATAGAAGTTTGTGAAAGTCCATCTGGTGAATCTCGGGAAACATTTGCCTAGGTAAAGAAAGTCTTTGTGCTGAAGAACTCATTCCACGTGGCTTTTCTGCCTGCTTGTATCTTGTTTCTGGTTTCTTCAAACACACATCAGCCTTGTAGGCTGTTCGACCGCTGCTGCGGGCTCCTCCGTTAAAGTGATCTGATCTAGGTAAGGCAGGAGGGCTGCACACTTCACCCAAGAGTCCTTTGAGTCTCCACCACTGTTTACTGGCATCCTCCCTGGCTTCCTGCAAACATCCAAGGTCTAGCCTCCCCTTAATAACATCTTGATACTATCACTGGACCACGGATCATCTGTCCTCTGAAGTTAAGGCCTAAGTCTTTCATTCCACCATGTTCAGCCTCAGAATCTCAGAGTTGGCAAGAACTTTGGAGGCCAATTAGCCCAGCCCACACCTGGACAAAAGTCCCTCTGCCCACCAAGCAGCCATCCCTCCCCCTACCTGAAAGCCTCCCATGAGAAGGAAGCAACTACCTCTGAGAGTCCATGGTACCTTGGGATAGCTCACTAGCACTTGGGAAGTTTTTCCTGACTTCAAACCTAAATTGGTGTGTCCATAGGCCAAGCTGAGGGGGTCTTATCCATCTTATCCTCCTTCCATATAATGCCCTTTAGGTATGAAACAGTCAGTTCATTGAGAACCCCTACTCTATTCCCATCAATCAATTTGATGTGATTCTATAGGGGTAGTGATTATAAGTTCTGTATGTTTGGCCCCAGAGCTGTGACCTGCAGATTGTAAGTTCACTTGCTTAATCATAAGAAGTTAAGTAGAGGCTCTCCACCCTTGTTTTTCTTAGTCATGGTGACCAAGCCCAGTGTGACAGAGATGACTGAACTACATGGAAAATCCCCCAATTTATTTTTGTGCCTCTGGACTGAAGTACTGAACTCCATGTGCTGAACTCTATTTTGTTTTCTGACCTTCACCTTGTATGCCCTTCTTCAGGAAGTAGGAGTCCCCACCTTAGAAAACCCTCCAAGGAAGATAGCTGCCCCAATCTTATTCCATGATCCTTATATGGTCCCAAAGGCAGGATTGACCAATCCTTGTTTGGCTTCTGTAACTTCCCACTTACGCAATTCCTGACCTTTCCTCTGTGGCTCTGCCTTTATAAACTCAAGCTCTGCCCCTGAGTGGGACTGCTTGATTTGGGTGTGCATACCCCTTGCAGCTGCGTGCTAAGAAATACACCTTTCAAATCATGTCTGGGTCTCGCTTGCTGATTTCTCTGTACAACAGGACCGTTCTCTGTTGTCTAACACGAGCAGGTAACAATCTTATGACCACTCAGTGGAGGTGCCCCATGCTACTCTGTGAGGACCACCCCCCCATATGTCAATTTTGGCCCTCAAGAGCAAAGTCAATGAATGAGATGTTGTATTTTGCCATGCCTCTTTTGCATATTTGGACAAAAATCAGCAATATATTAATCCATACTTTGAATAAGTCACATAGGAATGCAGTTTGTAATAGAAGGACGCTGTAATAGGCCTCGAACTTTAATATAAGGTTCCTTACTTGTTCCCCAGCTGTGGTGCTCACTTGCACAGCCATAAGAATGCTGACATAGGTTTATCCTTCCTGTTTTGCTCAAATTCCATGACCAGACCAAGCATGGGTGATAGCATGGTATGAAGAGTCCCCTGATGTGCTGTTAGAGCATATATATATATACATAGCTCCTGCGCAACCTAGGGAGAATGTGATTATCCATCTTGTGGCCCCCTAGGTCCTAGGCAGTGGAGATATTCCTCGCTTGTCCCAACTTGTGACCCTGCTGACAGATCATTTTTGCTTTTCTTAGCCTATGTATCCTATGTCAACCAATGGAACCATTCTGTGTCTAGTATAGCTCTTCTAGACTATAAAAATACAGTCCTGAAAGGAGGGGGCATCTCAGATCATGAGGAAGATCTGAGCTCCACTTCATTAGAGGGCACCCTGAACAACTGAACGAAGTGCCGTTGGCTCAGAGGTCTGCCTCAGTCTGACTGCTACAGTATAGTGTGAGTGCTTAATAAATGTGTCATTCATTCCAAGGCTCATAGGATCATCATTACAGAACTGGAATTTACAGACAAGGAAAGGGAGGCCCAGAGAGAGGCCACACATGTAGAATTTGAACCCAGGTCTTCCTGAAGCCCAAATCCAGAGCACGCCTAATGTCTTCTACACTACGTGGTCTCTCCTCTACACTGACATAGCACACCTTCAACCAGTGAAGCGTGTGATTCATACACATCTTGGGAAAAGAAAGGCATTACAAATGGACTTCAAAGGCAATGAGGCTGCTAAACCTTCCTTTATATCATCAATGTCACCAGCTATTATACTTACAGCATTAGTAGTAGTAGTAGTAGTAATCATGATCATAGCTTTTATATAGAGCTCTAAGTTTGCAAAGCCTTTGATCAATCATTTGATACTCACCACAACCCAAGAGGTGGGTGCCCATTTTATAGATGAGGAAACAAGTCTATAAGAGGTTAAGTGATTTACCCAGAGTTACACAGCCCCAAAAAATAACCAATTACAACAACACATAGAGAGCTAGGTATGCCTATAGCTGGGCAGCTAGGTGGTTCACTGGATAGAGTACTGAGCCGAGTCAGGAAGACCCGAGTTCAAAAGTAGCTTCAGATACTTACTAGCTGTGTGACTCTGGGCAAATCGCTTCACCCTGTTTGCCTCAGTTTCCTCATCTGTAAAATGAGCTGGAGAAGGAAATGGCAAAGCACCAAATAGGGTCACAAAGAGTCAGACACAACTGAAACAAACAACAGATTGTTGAGTTGAACAACAAAATAAAATAGGTTTCTTGGGGAGAGCAGGTCTCCGAAGGCAAGAGCGCATGTAATTGGGGAAACCCTGGGCCTGGGGACAGAAGATCTCATGGCTCCCACTCTGAGAATTAGAGGCCCATGCGTCGAGAGCTCAAAGGTACCTTCAAGGCCATCCAGCCCAACCCCCTCATTTTTCAGAGGAGGAAACAGGGCCAGATTAGTGATGGGACTTGCTACGTGGCTCACCCTCCCCCACTGTATGCTCTTCTGTAAAATAGGTTGTAACATCACTCCGCAGGTTTACTTGGACTTTATTTATTGGGACACGCAGCTCTGTAAACTTTAAAGTACTATCACAAATGTGAATCATCATTAGCGTTATTTTGGGTAAGAAGGAGGGTATCCCAGACTGGAGGTACAAAGTCCCTCGAGCAATTCAGTTTGCAAGGAAAGGGTATTAGGAAGGACCTAAGTCTGGCTGACTCCAATGTGCCTACAGCAGGCTTGAGTATCATTTAGGTCAGGGGAACCAGTAGGGATTAGAGGAGGCCTCTTCCAGCTGGGAGAGTAAAGTTCAACCAGCTGCCCAGAGGAAGATGATGAGCAAGCTGTTCATAGCTGCTGCTCCCTAACCCTCAGAGGGGACTTTGATGGCAGAGACATGGTGCCTCACGTTTGGCCTTGACGTCGCGCTTTCACGCCTGAGTCTATGAGGGAGGCACTATGGTATAGTTGGATTTGGAACCAGAGGTCCTGGGTTCAAATCCCATCTCTGCCCTATGTGACCTTGGTAAGTCATTTAATCCCCACTGGATTCAGTTTCCTCATCATTTGGTGACATTTATAGTCCCTTTCAGCTCTAAGCAAATTTGAATTTCCCAGAAAAGCCCATCCGGTAGGATGCTGGTAATTGAGGTTTGATTTTGGGAAACTTAGTGTCTCAGAGGATCTGTGCTTCAAAGGTGGAGCCTCCAAGTTCCCACCCTTCCCCTCAGGTGCTCCTGGGTGGGGTGGGAAGGGTCATCCAGCATTCTCTTCCTGCACACTAGATTTCCATCTCTAGATTTCATCAAGGTTTTGGGCTAAGCCTTCATACCCCACCCACATGGAATGACAAAATGACATTCCTTGCACTCTAACTTCAGTTAGAAGGGATCTCAGAGACCCAGGTCTCCGTGGTAGACAGAGATCCACTTTAAAACAGTCTAACAACTAGTTGGGAAGGCACCCTAGGAAGGGAGCCCACCACCTCCTGAGGCAGCCCACACACGCTTCTGGAACAGCTCTCACTGTTGGGACATTTGTCCTGCCCTCAAGCCTGGCCTGGCCCCATGGCATCTGGTTCTGTCCTCTGGGGCCAAACAGAGCAAGGCTGGTCGCTCTTCCACATGAGATCCTTTCCAGTACTAATATGGCCATCACAGCTGCTGCACCTCCACCTGTCTGGTCAGACGTTCTCACTTCCTTTCATCAGTCCTCAAACGGCATGAGCTGAAGGCCCCGCACCATCCTGCTGGCCCTCCTCTGGACATCGCCTGGCTTGATGATGTCATTCTTAAAACACTGGCCCATGACAGCTGTGGTCTGAGCAGGGCTAAGGATGGCAAGGTTTACACCGCTGTGTTCTGGTCAGCTCTAAAGGCTGCGTAAGACTTCATTAGCCCTTCTTAGGTCTTGCCAAGCTGACGACCCATCGATTTGGCTCTGTCTTCAAAACCCAGGCTCCTTTTATGTGAACTCGTCCATCTTGTTGATCCAGGTATGTGGCATAGTAAATTAAGTGCTTGGCTTGAAGTCAGGACGACCTGAGTTCAAATCCTGACTCAGTCACCTCCCTAAGCCTCAGTTTCCTCATCTACACAGTGAAGATAATAACAGAACTTCATCACTAGGTCGTTGTGAGGATCAAATAAGACAATATATGCAAAGCACTTTGCAACCCTCAAGGGCTATATAAATGCTAGGTATCATCATCGTTATGATTACTAAATGCCTATACGCAAGCTGGAGAAGGAAATGTCAAACCAGTCCAGTATCTTTGCCAAGAAAAACCCCAAAATTCATGAAGAGTGGAGACACAACTGAGCAACAATAAAAATGCAAAAACACGGTCCATGCGGTAGCTAACAACTTACTTGGAGAGACAAGACACCCACACAGGAAATGGTTGTGTGATAATACAGTGTAGCATCTGATTATAATGATGACGGATGGGACTGATTCAGGTTGGGTGGAGAAGCTGAGGAAAGCAAAGCCTTGGGGGAAATGAGATTGAATCTTCTGTTCTTGCTGAGTCCTTTCAATCAGCATAGGATTTGAAGCTAAGACCCTCAGACCACACCCTGGCGCCTGCTCTGAATTTTGTGTCAAGCACAGAGCACTGTGCTTGACTTAGCAGGTGATTTTAAAATGTTTATGGGGATGAACTGAATTTAATTGGAAGAAAAGAAAACCTGGGTTCTAGTTTGGGTTTCCAGGCCCCTCTTTGTTTTAAGCTCCTTCCCGAATTTAAGTCTACTTATGATCTGTTATCTGTCATTCTATGTTCTCAAGTTCCCTCATCCCTATAATCCTGCAATTCAACTCTTTCTCTGCTTGTTGTCCAGTAGTTTCGGTCACGTCTGACCCTTCATGACCCCACTTGAGGTTTTCTTGGCGAAGATGCCGGAGTGGTTCATCATTTTATTCTCCAGATCATTTTACAGATGAGGAAATTCACCCAGCTAGTAAGTGTTTGAGGCCAGATTTGAACTCAGGAAGATGAGTCTTCCTGACTCCTAGCCCAGCACTCTGCGCGCTATGGCACCACTAGCTGCCCCTGCTTGATAGGAATAGTTTGATGCAAGCAGAGATGGAATGTCTGGCCTAGAGGTAGACACCAGGGGGCAGCAACGTCATAGCCATCTTAATCAGGCTTCAGAAGGTTGTCTACACCTTTGCAACAATCAATCAACCAAGCATTTCTATATTAAATGTCCGCTGTGTGGATTCGTTCTGTGCTGGGGGATGGGCGTATGACGGCACAAATGGAACAGCCCCTGCCCTCAGGGATCTTCCATTCTACCAGGGAGGACACAAACACGCAAGCGCGTGCAGACTTAAAACAAGACTTGGGAGGAGGCTTCGAGAGGAAAGCTGGGCGGGAGGGCATCTGTGAAATGCCTCCAGGAGAGAAGGTGGCACTCAAGGAAGGAGACAAAGGATTCCAAGAAATGGAGGGGAGGCGGGCGTGCATTCCGGGCATAAGGATGGTCTTGTGCCAAGACGTAGAGAGGGATTGTCATGTGGGGTGAACATTAAGAAAGCCAGTTTGTGTGGAGTATGAGAAGGGGAGTGATACGTAGCGAGGCTTCAAAGGCAGGTCGGAACCAGGCTCTCTGCTAAACCAAAGAGTTTGTATTTATGCCTAGGAATAAAAGGGAAACATTGGAATTTACTGAGCAGATGCGCGACACAGCTGTGCTCTGGAAGTGTTGCTTTGAAATTGTTCGGAGATTGAAGTGAGGAGAAACTTGAGGTGAGGAGAGCAACAGTGTAGGCAGAGATGATGAGAGCTTGAGCTAGGATGGTTGTGATGGGAGGGGAGAGAAGGGGGCAGAT